TACAGTTGTCACTGTGTAAAATAAAACAAAGCTTCTTACGTGATAAACTTATCAACATAATAGAATGAAAAATGTGTCTATTATTCATGAGTTTGAACAGTGGTTGGGAACTAAAGAAAAGGAGTGGTGTGGCAAATCTAGTTAGTTGTGCAAAATAACTTCATGGTGTCTTTATGAACAAACAATGATTGGATCCCTTGCCACGAGCACTTGGAGGTCCACTAAGATGTAGGCGCATATTCTCCTGACTTTCCAGGACATGTGAGTACCACTGGCGGCTCTCCCTGCGCCCTTCACGAAGCCCCGTGGTGATGCAGAGGGGACTGACCGTCAGGACCACAAAGCCCACGGCTTGCATTTGCACATATCATCTGGGTATCATTTCTTTGGTGTTCCAAACTCTCCAGACACACTGTTTGATGCTAGCGTATTCTAACCAGTTCCATAAACACAAGTAAACCGGGGGGGGGGGGAGAAGAAAAGAAAAAAAAAAAAGTGGCAAAATAACTCTTAGTGGTAAAGCTGTTGGACAAATGACATTTTAAATCGTTTTCTCCCCCTACTGATAGAGATGACTTTGGCTCCCGGCCACCTGAGAGCAGTAATAAATATTTATAAGGCACTCCGCTGAGGTGTTCAGAGTATCACACTGCTCCAACAGACTACAATTTCAGGCTAAAGTAAAATGGGCAGGATAAAAAGTAAACAAAAATAAACTTCAGACTAGATCGGTTGTCCACTTATGCAGTCCTAAAATAGATGAGTACCATTTTCAGTTTCTACTCCTGGGTGGAACTTCCACATTACTAAAAGGAAAAGCACCTCACAAGCTAAGTGATTAGAAGAATGCTCTTAATCCATCAGGGGTGAGACTGGAGTGAGTCAGGTACAGTTCTCAGGCATCTAGGAATGCAAAGCCAGGACAGTTATTCATTCTAGAATCTGCAGTTTGTCTCTTTATCAGACTTGTTAGAAAGAAAAATGTTTCCATTAGCAAAAAGCCTTTTTTATTTTAAACTTAAAACCCATTTTTAAATTTCACAACAGCCCGCACTCTTCTGGAGAACATCATTCCAATGGAGTTTAAAAAGGAGAAATACCCATTGTCTGGGGCTATGGCTTTTTTCTGCCTAGCAAGAAGAGAAATGGTGTTCTTGAGGAAATAAGGAATTTAAAGTGTCACTTCCACCAATGAGCACAATTATATGTGACTGTCCCTCAGTAACAGTAGGGTGAGGGATTTTCTGTTAGCCCAATTAACACGTTTACATGTTCATTCAATGAAAAAATTTCCCAAACAAGTTAAAGAATTTAAGCGGTGAGTACCCATACCATCCTAACAATCTGAATCACCTCCCTTTGGGTCATTTCTACTTTGAGAACAGAAATTGTTTGGAAATCTATTGTATATGATAATGAATTTCATTTTTTCGGAAGCTGTCTTGAATTCTACCCTGAGTGCCCTGGGAAGGAAAAGATACAGTGTGGGGGAAGAAAATCCTTTCCAGCATTTACTTTACTATCATGAGCAAGTGTCTGGCCAGCTCCCAACCAACGAACTCTTCCAAGAGGGAGGCGCTTATTTCCCCTGCCTCCTGAAAATACAGCCTGCCCCTCATCTGCCCGGGTCAAGGCTCCGTGACATTTGGCCCCTGCCCTCCTTTCTGAATCTCTCTGCAGGTACTCTTGGTTTGCCTCAAAACCTACTGATAGATCGTTTATATCTGAGGACAGAAAATTCTAATTTTGCACGTTGGACTTGGTCTTACATTCTTTTCTACTAGAGAATCTACAAAATTTTGCATTTTAAGTAATTATTGGACTCATTTTATAGAACGTTTTCAGTCACTACTTGACTTTATCCACATTTGCAACACGGCTCTAGGAACAGCTGTGTGCTGGCCTTTGTTGTGAGACTAAATCCAGTGTGAGGTTTATGAATCACACCTCCTCCTTCCACATAATGGTCTCCACCTGTTGTCTCCCTCCTGTCTTCACCAAACCCCTAACCCAATCCTTGAATTTGACAGACGTTTTTACCAACTAAGTAAGATAGAGAGTGTCTATAAATAATATTTCATTGGTAACAGTAAATAAGTAAAAATTTCAAAATGCAAGCATTAACAATATTAGACAGGTGATAAAAATATATAAGATACGAGATAAGTGACTTCAAATGTGAAGATCAAAAATCATTGACTTTATGTATGTATGCATATATGTAAGTCTGTTCAAAGGTGTACCCATTTGACACTAACCTATGAAGTTTAAGATTCCAATAAAAATTCTAAATTTCTCAAATATGGAAAATATTTTTGTATAAAATAAAATACTTTTAAAAAACCTACATCATTAATTCTAAACAGGGGATGACCGAAATCTGGATTTTTGTCATTAAAAAATATTATCAAATCATTTTAAGAAAAACATAACACAAAATAAAATAGACAAATATTTTAATGTAGTGTTACATCTATTTCCATTAGAATACATTCATGCCATTCTCACCACTAGCAGTCTGGTTCAGCCATTCCTTCTTTTTACATGTAGCAATCACCTCTCAGAGGTTAGCAATTTAAGAATTATTAAAACAATGCTTACTGATTTTCACAGAGTATGGGATTAAATATCCAAACCCAAACTTAGAGCTATATTTATTGACGCTTTGTATTTTACTTCCCAATCCTAACATTATAGAATCTGGAATTTTACAATGTAATCTTAGAGTACTTATGGAGGCATTAAACGTACTTCTCAGTAAAACTGAACTTCAAGTAATTGAGAATAATCAAGGCACGTCATTTTCATAGTGAGCAGTTCAAATTTTATTACGTAACTAAATGTCCTGTGTAAGTCTTAACTCTGTTTAAAGTCCTGGTATCAATAAGCATCCATCGATTACTATGAAAATCACTCATTAGTAAAATAAAATTTCATCTGAGAAAGTTAACTTATATAAATTAAATATTCTTTTTTAATGAGAAGTTTTATCTGAGAAAGTAATCTTACATAATTTTTTTTTTTTTTTAATGAGAAATAGGGAAAGGGAGAGATTTTTGACAGGGTCTCTCCAAGTGGAGAGCCCCTTGCCCTGGCCTCCCAAGTTAGTTAGGCTGTGCCTGCTTAGGTCGGTCCAGAAACCACCTCTGGGCCCCCATGTGGTACCACCTTCTGGAGCATACTGCTCCAGAACACCATACTGCTTGTGCCACTGTGGCTGAGCTGTGCTAGTAAATATATTTTACCCAAAATGCAATTTTAATTGACAATATTTGGTAGGCTAAATTTATTATTCTTATTATTCCTTGTTTTCATTTAATATACATAAATTTTAGCAATAATTTCTATTTCCTCTTACAGGCAGAATCTTGCTTTGGTTTATATAGTACAGACAGTTAAAATTAATTCATTGTGTAATTTTCACCAATTAAGTAAATTCTCCTTCTAGGATTTCCATATCCTTATCCATAAAATAAGGAGAGTAAATTACATTATCCCTAAGGTCTGTTCCAGTCCTACCATACAATAGTAAAGAGCCAAATTATATAAATTAGTACATTTATAAATTACTTTTGAAACAATTTCAAAACAGCCTTATATGAGTTTCTATGTTGTAAAACTGTGAACGACTACAACTCACTTTTTCTAGAATCTTACTGATTCACTTCTAAGAAATGCTTACTTTATCAAGGCTTTTTAGAATGTGTTGAAATAAGGCTCAAACTGAGATGGTGTATTAGGACATAATAAATATTGTTGAGAATAATCACATACTAGTCCGCTAACACAGACACTCCATCTTCACAAAATGAAACAATACCAGTTTTAAAATGAAGTATGTAAAATCCTTGTGGGATTTATTTAATATTTGACCTTTCAGGATAATTCCTTTAAAATATGTTTAATTTCAGTGAAAAAGCAAGGAATTTTGATTTATCTTAAGAACAACTCAGAATCTAAGTAACATATACATGTGTTTCTTAATTTTAGGTTTAACGAGGAGGTACCTGACACAATGGTATGCTCTCAGTTAAAGCTCTCCTACAAGAATATGATATTCTGGGAACCAGCAGTTAGCGTAATGGCTATGTCGCTGGATTCCCACTTAGTCGACCGTGGTTCGCGTCCCGGACCCGGTGGCTTAGAACTCACGCCGGGTGTGTGTGCGTGCGTGCCCAAGATCCCGAGAAGAGAATGGAGGAGAAGGAATTGCGGTGTGACCATCCCCCCTGGGGGGCGATTTCTCGCTTTCTGTCTCTCTGTCTGTCTGGCGAGCGCACACGCCCTATAGCAAAAACCTCTCAAAAGAAAAAAAAAAAAGAGAGAATATGATATTCTAAGATCACTATAGAGTTAATTGCTAAAATAGAAAATTCTTAATATTGGTCAGATTGGATTACTTGCAACACTCTCACAGCAGCACTGCAAGAAAAATGGAACCAGGAAGAAAGAGTAAGACTGTTCTGGGAAGATGCGTGAAATGTAAGAGGGCAACAACTTAAAGAACCTTTATGGTAATGGAAAACAAAACAAAACAAAACAAAAATCAATAGAGGCACAAAATTCACTGCAACTGTTTTGTTTCATTTCACATATATGGAACTGTAGTCATCAGCCTAATGCTTTAAAGAGGTGCTGGAATTTAGGTTTATTTATATTTCTAGAACATACTTCTTTATAACGTGATGACTCTTATTAGAAATATGGTTTTGTGAGATAAAATTGTGAAGCACAACCAAAAATAAAGTGTTAGGAGAAGACTGATCCATATTTAACAAAATATGAGGCTATTTCATTTGTTTTGAAAAATGTTTTGCTATAGGGCATGTGTGCTTGCCAGAGAAAGAGAAAGTGAGAAATCACTCTCCAGGGGAAATGGCCATGCCACAATCCCTTCTCCTCCACTCTCCTCTCAGGATTTTGGGGACTCACGCACATTTGCCCAATGTGAGCTTCAAGCCACCGGGCCCAAGACTCGAACCACAGTTGGCGATGCTGGAGTCCAGTGCTTTAACCACTGTGCAACCTGCTGGTCCCAAATCAATTTAATTTAAAAAATACGAATTCTGTGGTAAAGGTGGAAAGCACACTTTGAAAATATTTTGAAAACCCAACATGATATTTGATGATGTGATACTCAGACCACTGAACATTTCTAATTTCACCTGAGGAGTAAGTAGAAATCAAATAATTCTTCCACAGCCCCTAGCTTTGACTTAGAGACTGGGGCTGATTCCAATCCAGTGTTTGATTAACTGATGTGCAATAGCTCGGCTTGGTGGCACAAAGAACGCCTGCTGCTTCCCTTTGGTTAGAACATCCACGACCTGAAACACACCACAACGAAATGTGTTAAGATTTTGAAGCTGTCGTATTTCAATACTATTTCCACGCCACACAATGCAGATAAAATGTGAGAACCTTTACAGTGAAGGATAACAGTAGAAAGTGACAATATCTGTATACATCATGTAAAAATGAACACAGCATTTTTAAGTGCTTCATTGAGTTAGTGACTCAATTTTTTTTTTCATTTATAAACCTTTTTATTCCTTTACTCATGATAGACCTCATGGATATATACATGAAAGTGAAAGAATGAATTAGTGTGGGGAGGAGAGAGAAAGCTGAGTGTCCTCCACAGATTTTGGTCATGCCATGATCCCCTTTCTTCAGTGCTCCAGCCACTGGATCTGGGGCAGCTGCACATGTGGCTGGCATGTCCGGGCTGACTGGGCTGCATGCTCAAACTATGGCTGCCATGTGGGAGCTGCCTTCTCCTGAGTAGCACATTACCACTGTACCATGGAGGCGGCACACAGTGACTCTTTTTTTTTTTTTCCCCTCTATTTAGAACGTGTGCCAACCCCAGATG